GTGTGTGTGTTTGTGTGTGTGTGTGTGTGAGTGTTTGTGCGTGTGTGTGTGTGTGTTTCAGTTTTCAGTAGAGGAAAGATCAAGGAAGATTTTTTTACTGTTCGTGAGCATGTGTTTTGGATTGTGTGTTTTAGCTCAGCGGTTCTCAACTGGTGGGTCGTGACTCCACCAGTTGAGAACTATATTATTTACTGTAAGGGCATAATACAGTTTAATGTAGCTAGCACAGACTTGGATAAGTAGTGTCTAATATCCTGCTAAATAAGATAAATAAACTTTAAAAGTTTGTTAATAAGGTATTTGCATAAAGATTAATATGTGTTTCCATTATTTTGTTGGCACAGAAGAGCATAGCTTGCATAAAAACCACATAATATCAAGACCAAAGTATACTTCAGTTTTATGCATACTGCGTACATACAGTGCATACCTTAGTACACGCTTACTGCCAGATTTCCTAATTGTAACTGTGTCTCATTCGAAGGTTGTGGCCTCCAGGGTCACAATTTTGTTGGCCACATAAGGCTGTCTCATTTAAGAAAAGTAAACATTATATTGCAAAGTAAGAAAAAATCACACTAAATTACTAAGTCATTTTAGACACTGGACAAAGATGAAATTTGCTAGTAAGCATATGTCGAGCTCCTGTATTTTTACATGTTATCAAAAATATATACTTTGAAAGGCTACACTTTCAGCTATATGCATACGGTAAATATTTGCATCACAACTGAGGTCAACTTTGGGCTTTAAAGGGATAGTTCACCCAAAAATGAAAATTCTGTCATTAATTACTCACCCTCATGTCATTTCAAAACCGTAAGACCTTCGTTCATCTTCGGAACACAAATTAAGATATTTTTGATGGAATCTGAGAGCTGTCTGACCCTCCATAGACAGCAATACAACTGAAATGTTCCCAAGTCCAGAAACGTAGCAAGGAGATCTGTAAAAGAATCTATGTGACATCAGGGGTTCAACTGTAATTTTACGAAGCTACGAGAATACTTTTTGTGCGTAAAAGAAAAAAAATAACAACTTTATTCAACAATTCGTCTCCTCCGTCACACCGGATCTTTCCTACGTTGTTTGCGCTTTGATTTGAATGAAAACAACATATCCGCGTGACGCAGCTGAAACAGAACAGCTTACGTTGTTTACGTCCAGCTGATATTCTCCAAAATGGCACCAGGGTGATGCGGAGGAGACGAATTGTTGAATAAAGTCGTTATTTTTTCTTTCCTTTTGCGCACAAAAAGTATTCTCGTAGCTTCGTAAAATTGCGGATGAACCACTGATGTCACATGGATTATTTTACAGATCTCCCACGACATGATGGTGAGTAATTAATGACAGAATTTTCATTTTTGGGTGAACTAACCCTTTAATGACACAATTTCAATTTTTGGTGAACTAACTTTAAGTCAGAGGATGTGAACAGCTTCTAGTAGAACATCCAGGACAGGTTGTCATCAAGTAATTATGGTAATTACAACATGGTACGAGTGCTCCAAAAATACGACTATAAATACAGTTATACATATCACAGTACATATAACATTGGGCACTGTGTTTGGTCGCAACTTGCTGTCCAGTGGAAACTCTGGACTTGAAGCAAAACCAGTCAAGAACCAATGTTTTAATGTCTCAATGAGCAGGAGCTCTTGAATCCAAATATCTCTCATATGGTGAGTTCTCGCTCGCACAGCGGTTGTCCTCGGTGTCTGATGTGTCCTGCTTTTCGGGCCTCAGCCAGTGCCTGGGCAAAGTTTGGTAACATGTGAACTGTTCTTAAATGTCCATCCGGAGCCAGCATCTCAGAGGGGAATGAGACAGGAGAGAATGGACACATATTCCCATGTATCTCAGCTCCTCTTTCATTAGCTTTCTCTCGTTACCTGAACAGCATCCATTCCCTGTCTTTCTGGCTGTCTTTTTCTCTGTCCCTCACTATGTCCATGTGGGCCCCTCTGTCTCTGTCCTGTTCTCCATCCATATCTCTTTCCTTGCTCTCCTCTCTTTCTGTATTTGTGCTCATAGCGGTGAGAGAGGTGACAGGCTGCCGTTTTAGGTCTGGCAGACAGAGCGTCTCAGAGGAGTGTTCTGCCCTTTTCTCCCCACTGCTCATAAACTCCTGAACACGAGCCTGCAGTGAAGAGGACCTGGAGAGATGGAGAAGAGATAGAGGGAAATAATTACTCAAAGTGTTAAAGTCAGCAGCATGCATGCATAAAATGACATCCTGACATTGCTAATTGGCTTTACAATGATGTACTCGGTTTATTTTGCAGTGTACATCTTCATTGCTCAACTTGTATCTGAATATACAACTTGTTGAAAATCATAAAGTTGCTTTTTTTCACTCATAAGAGGCTAACTGGGCCATGCTAACAAGCTAATCCTTGATTCCTTGGTTTTCACAAATATTAAGGACGTGTTTGGCAGGATTTACACTTAGCAACATCAACCGACTTTTCTATCTGGATAACCGATCAGGGGTGCGTTTCCCAAAA